GGAAGGAAGGAAGGAAGGAAGGAAGGAAGGAAGGGAGGGAAGGAGGGAGGGAGGAAGGAAGGAAGGAAAGGGAAGGGAAGGGAGACACGCTGCTCTCCGAGATCTGCGCTCCCGTCGGGCTCCCGGAGTCCCACAGCCGGGAGCGCCCGGCTGGCACGGCGTCCCCTCCCTCGCGCGCCACAAGTGGGCGCTGGGGCTCCAGGCGGCCCCTTGCGCCCCGCGGGCACGGCGGTCCTGGATAAGCCTTTGGGGGCCGGGGCCGGGGCCGGGTGCGGGCCGCGGGGAGCTGCGGGGCCTCTGGAAGGGGCGGGCTCGCTGCAGCCGGGAAGCCCGGAGCCGCCCAGGAATCTTGGCTCGGCCCGCGCTGTTTCCTCCCCGCCCGCCCGCCCGGCGCGATCCCGGACAGACGCCCGCTCGCCCCGCACCATGCGCCCGCTGCTCTGCGCGCTGGCCGGGCTCGCTCTGCTCCGCGCCGGTGAGTGGGGCTGGGGACGCGCGAGCCCGGGGAGAAGTGGGAGCCGGAGAGAGGGAGGGAGCGGGATGGAGAGATGATGCGCGGACGTGGAGAGAGATGCAGAAAGGGAGGAGTGGAGACGAAACCGACGCAAGGAAAGCGGAGGAACAGGGCAGAGGAGGACACGACAGAGAGAACAGAGAAAGGGAAGCAAACACGGAAAAGGAGAGGCTGGAACAGAAAAGGGCTTTGGAGGTGCAGGGGTACAAGGGAGGATAAGCAGGCGCGGTGGTGCGCGGCTGTACTCCAGGAGCACCGAACTCTGGGAGGCTGAGGCAGGAGGATCATAAATTCAAGCCCACCCTGGGGCAATGTAGAGACTTAGCAAGATCCTGTCTCAGAATTTAAGAACAGTTTCTTAAAAAGGGCCGAGGATGAAGCTCAGTGAGAAGACCCTGGGTTCAAACCACAAAATAAATAAGTAAATAAGAATTTGAGAAAAGAGAACTGAAATGGTGTGGGGAGGGAGCTACTGAGAGAAAGTGAAAGGTTCAGGAGAGACCAAAGGGGAGCAAGAGCGGGGGAGGGTGTAGAGTGCCCGCTTGAGACAGCAGACAGGCCAGGCGAGGATGCCCAGCCTGCAGGGTGGGGCCGCCTTGGGGGGGCCAGCTCCACCCCAGGCCGGCTGCAGAGGGCAGCACAGCCTTTAAGCAGACAGATAGTGGCTCCAGGAGAAAGACCACTGCTTCTCCTGCCGAAGGGAGCCTGCAGTCCTGACGGGAGGTGGGCTCGCTCCAGAGAGCTCTGTGGTGCCCGAGGCCCAGGGCTGAGCTGCGGACCTACAGGAGGGAGAGGCCATCAGGGTCTTGGGACAGCTGGGCTCCGTGCCCTGCACTATCTCCTGTGCCATCCTACCCGGCCTGAAGCCTCGGTGCTGATCCTCCCCAGGGACTAGGAAGAGGGAGGAGCCTGTCACCCGGCTTCACTGGGCATAGCCCAGGGCACTGCTCATGGATGGACAGTCCACCGTCCACCCCATGCACATGCTTTACACTTTGCAGACCGCATCCTGTAAACCCATGGCGTGGTTCAGGTGAGCGGGGAGTTCAGGTCTCGCCAGAGGAACCCGGGCCCCCTGGCCCTCAGCCAGGCCTTTGTTCCCACCCAGGCGGAAGTGCCCTTTGTTCAGACACAAGCCTCTGTCCTGTTCAAGGCCAGTAATGAGAGGGATTGAGGGGCTGGGGATATAGCTCAGTGGCATAAGCACCTGCCTGGAAAGCGCAAGGTCCTGAGTTCAATTCCCCATACCAAAAAACAAAAAAACACAAAGAATGTGGTGGTGCACGCCTGTAATCTCAGCACTCAGGAGGCTGAGGCAGGAGAATCACTGTGAGTTCGAGGCCAGCCTGGGCTACAGAGTGAGTTCAAGGCCAGCCTGAACTGCATAGCGAGAACTTGTCTCAAAAAAAGAAAAAAAAAAAAAAAAGAGGGATTGAGCACCCCTTGATCCAGGGGCACCCACACCTTGGCTGACTTCATGATGCCCTGGGGCTCTTTGCTTCTCTGTAAACTAGGTAGAAGGGATCACACCCCAGAGCTCGCTTCAGCGACTGGATGAAGGAGGAAACCAGGCATTCTCGCATCACTCCACAGGTCCCCCGGGCTTCAGTTCCTCCACCTGTCAAGGAGCGTCAGCTGCTTCCTCCCTGCCCACCTCGTCCCTCTTCCTCTCCGCCCAGCTCTGGGGATCTGGGTCCTGGGGCCTGTGCGGCCAGAGGGGCCTGTGCATAATGCATCTTAATTCTGTTTACGTTTCCTTCTCCCCTTCCTCCCCCTCCCTTCCACTCTTGGGCTCCCTCCCATTTGCACAAGCTCTATCTCTCCCTGTTTCCTATTCTCTATCTTTTATTTTGCTCTTTCACTTGTTTACAGTTAGGGTTTTTCACATAAGAGGAAGCATGCACTATTTAAGCTTGTGCGTCTGAGTACCTTTTCTTTTTTTCTTTTTCCGGTACCAGGAATCGAACTCACAACCTCACTCTTGCCAGGCAGGCACTGTGCCACTGAGCTAAATCCCCAGCCCCTGAGAACCTTCTCTTAATCTGACAGTTTCAAGGAGCATCTTTTCTTACAAATGATTCAAGTTTGTCCTTCATGGCAGAATAGTACTGCGTTGTGCACAAATACATTTTCTTTACCCATTCACCTGTTGGTGGACATATAGAAGGCTTCCAAGATTTAGCTAGTACTTGTGCTATGATAGCTACAAAAATGGGTGTGCATGTATGGCTGTAATGTGATGTCTTTAACTCTTTCTAGAAAATACCTACAAGGACCAGCAGTGTTTTCTTTTTTAAAGTATCTTTTTCATTTTTATTTGACACATAATAGTTGTATGTATTTATGGTGGGCAGTTTTCCTTACCTTGGGTTAGGAAAACATTACGGTACAAAATAATAGTAGGTAAAAGTAGAACCCAGGGCCAGGGATATAGCTCAGTGGCATAGGCACTTGCCTGGCAAAGCCTGAGGTCATGAGTTCGATTCCCGGTACCCAAAAAAATAAATAAATAAAAAATAAAAGAGTAGAACCCAGCAATGTACCCATGAACTTGCTCTAAGTATTATAGTTCATTCCCAGTGTCATTTCATCGATAACCCCACCTCCACTCTCCTCCCTGGATTGTTTCAAAGGCAATTCCAGGCATCATATATTTCACCTATAAATAATTACTGTGCATCTCTAAAAGATAAATAGGCTTAATGAACATAACTGCAGTACAATGGCCACACCCAGAAATTAATGTCTACCCCTTACTCTGAAATATTCAATCACTGTTTAAATATCCTGGATTAAGTCATGTTTTTGTACATCATTTGTTTGCGCCAAAGAAAGTTGCCTACATTGCATTTGGTTAACTCTTTTTAAAATATATGAGCTCTCCCTCACCTCTGTTTTTTTTCCTTAAAGTTTATTTGTTGAAGAAGCTGTTTGTCCTGAGAAGATTTTCACATTTTGTTTTGAGTTCCCTCACCCTGTTGTCAGTCAGCTGTTCATCAACCCTTCGTATTTTCTGTAAACTGAGGGTGACATCTAGAAACTTGATCTCTCAGTTAGACTTTTCTTTGCAAGGGTATTTCATATTCTTTATTAATTTGGTTTGCATTTCTTTTATTGCTGCTGAAGTTGGACTGTTTCTTCAATGGTATTTTGGTCATTTCTACAGATTCTTTTTTTTTTTTGACTTTTTTGAGACAGGGTCTCGCTATGCAGTTCAGGCTGGGCTTGAGCTCACTTTCTAGCCCAAGCTGATCTCAAACTCACAACAATCCTCCTGCCTCAGCCTCCCGAGTGCTGGAATTACAGGCGTGAGCCACCACTCCCAGCTTTTTTTTCTACAGATTCTTGTAAAGTGTGTTAGACTTTCTCAACTGCTGTGTTGAGATTTTTCATAGTGATCTGTAAAAATTCTTTGTATGCCAAGTAAAACAAACAAACTGTTAATCTGTAGAATTTTTTTTTTTTGAGAGATAAGATTTTATTGTATATGCAGACTGGCCTTGGACTCACTATGTTGCCCAGGTTGGCCTTTAACTTGCAGCAATCCTCCTGCCTCAGCCTCCTAAGGCTGGGGTTACAGGTGTGTACCACCATACCGACTAGAGTGTTTTAGTATACAGTAAGTCCCTGACTTAAGAACATTTGAGTTGTGAACTTTCACAGGTACAAACCAGCCTTGCATTACAAACATTTGTAGATGTCAACAAATTGCAGAAGTCGATCGTGTGTCTGCCGGACTCTGCCGCAGTTGTGCGGCTGTGTGCTTACTGGACGGTGCAATAGTGTATAGTGGTACAGTGCTCGATCAGAGCTCAGGATGTCCAGAAGCAAAAGGAGAAGCAGTGGTGATGTGGAGGGATGCTAGGAAGCCCAGAACAATATACATTATATGTTGGTGTCAGAGGAATACAAGTCTCTCTTTGTTAGACTTAGAAATGAATCCAACTTATAAACATTCTCCCAGAATGGAACTTGTTTGTAAGTCGAGGACTTACCGTACTGCAATCCAGTGGTTTGAAAGCACACTATACGGAAAGAGGAGGCTCCTCCTTCCCGTCTAGACGGGAGCCGAGTCCTCCGCCAGTGTGGCCACCGGCCAGGCTGCCCCTGCACTGCCCCACGAGAGAGGAGCAGACCCGGTGTGATTGACAGGGGCTCTTTGTTATGGCAGCTTAACTTGTATCCTGAGTAAACTACAAACTGAGCCGGAAACAGAATTGGTAAGCTCCCAGTGATTCATAAAGCTCAAGTCCAGCTCTGGAAACAGATCCAAGAAGGAGGTAAAATAGGACACATCCCTCCCTGAACAAAACAAAGTAAAAAACGTTCCTTGGAATGTGACCTTTGTCTCAGAGCTCCAGGATCCTCTGCTGCGTCAGCCCGGGCAGCCACATTTATGAGATTTCTTCAGACACTCGTTTCAAAATCGTGTTCCGCTGCCTTTTTTAAAACTCAAAAACCACGGAGGGTTTTGAATGCATCACAAATATTTATACAAGTTTTGGACGTGGTGAAATTTGTTATTCTGTTACACTGAATGTGGTCAACTATAATTAACCCCCAAGTGGCCAGCATTGCTGGTGAAAGCGGAACATGACTTGATGACTCAGAGGTGAAACGGCACCTTTTAAAGTCACTACCAAGATGCTTCTCACCCAACCACAGGCGTCATTTAGGCTGTGGCTGCCTTCTTACTGTGAGGCCAAAGATATCCCTGTGAAGTCTGTAAGTAGCAGGCACACCTCAGAGGCCAAAACCTATGGGCCACATCTGTTTGTGTGTGTGTGGCATTGGGAACTGAACTCTGGACCTTCACACTGAGCTACATCCCAAGCCTTTTCCATTTTATTTTGAGGCAGGGTCTCACTAAGTTGCCCAGGCTGGGCAGTCTTCCTGCCTCAGCCTCAGCCTCCCAAGTATCTCGCCACATCTCTTTAACAGGTCAACCAGCCTGGTGCTTTCGCAGGGCCTGTGGGTCCCACACAGCTGCCAGCTGTCACACCGGGCAGTGCTCCTCCACCCGTGGCCACCGTCCAGGCGCCCATCAGGCCCAGGCAGGAGCCAGGCCAGAGAAAGCAGCCCAGCATCCGGGAAGGTCCGTTCCCAGCTGGCAGGGCCAGGAGGGTGGAGGGAAGGAGCAGGAGGCACTGGGGACCACAGCCTTGACTGCTCAGGGTGCACCCCAGCTTTGCCCCTCCTCTTGGTTGAGCTCCCTGACAGCCGTGTGCGTGCATGCATGCGTGTGAGCGTGCATGTGCGTGCATATGTGTGTGAGCATGTGTGTGTGTGATGCATGCGTGAGTGTGTGTGTGCACATGCGTGTGAGTGAGCGCTCCAGCCAAAGCCGTGGAGGCGGCCATGAGGGAAAGGGGCAGGGCTGTGCTGCGAACGTTCTCTGTGAGGAGAGCTCCTCGGAGGCCTGGATGAGCTCATGGACGGCTGGGCTGTGGCGCGCTGAGCGAGGCCCTGTCCAGATGTGAGAGATTAGTGCTCAGCTGCTCTGAGAGCGACCTCCGCCCAGCCTCTTCCCTGGAGGGATCCCGAGGCCAAGTCAGACCTCATGGCAGACACGGAGGGGACAGGCTGAGGCTAAGGCAGAGGAGCGGAGTCAGGCTGCTTTCGATGTCCAAGGCTGGCAGGGTCCCAGGCTGGCCGCAGGGTCGTGCTGCTCCTCTTGGCATGGGCTGTGAGAACACAAGGTGGGGGACGAGGAGCCTGGGGTCTGTAAGAGAGCAAGTGATGCTCAGGGGAACGACTTGGCCAAAGACAGCCACAGATCCGGCCAGACAGACCCCTCTTCCCGGGACAGCCCGCTGCATGTGAGGACAGCACTTCCTGCCACCCGGAAGTCCTTCCCCTCCAAGCTGAGCACTCCAGTGTCACTAAAACAAGGGAGTCAGATCCTAGGGTCCATGGCCCAGGGCCCCTTGCAGGCCTGTGGCCGCCTCTCCAGTCAGAACCAGAAGGGGGCCCCCATTCCCGCCTCCATCTCCCCAGCACTTCACATCCTCACACTCAGCCCACCGGGGTTCCGCTCCAGTGACTCCCACAGACAGCTGGCTTTTACCATGGAAAACATCTAACCTTCCTTGCACCCCACGTGCCCATCACCCTGCTCCTGAGTGTCCATCTGCCCACTCCTCCCTCCCAGGCCTGGAGTATTTCAAAGTAAATCCAAGCCGTCATAGCATTTCATCGGTAAACATTTCAGCATAGGTCTTTAAAAGACTCACTTTCATAACTGTAGTGAGCCTGCAGGTATAACCTCATCCTTACCCTACCCCACAATTTTATAATAACACCATTGTCCCTTGAAGAGGGTTTTCTAAGTTCAGGGGGTAGGGATCATGAAAAGGAGAATTTAACAACCAAACTGGTCTCCACCTGGTCTCCAAAGGTGCTGTATTGCTCACCTTGCTGTCACTATAACAAAATGCCTGAGGCAGTTGGCTCTAAAGAGAAAAGGGTTGTTGGGTTTATGGTATTGGAGGTGCCAGTCCATGGGTTTCTGTGAGACAGGACAAAACCTCTCACCTCATCGTCCAGGAAGAAGAAGAGATCAGGGTCTTAGGTCCCCTTTGAGGGCACCCCTGGTGACCTAAAGTCTTCCCACAAGGCTCAATCTTGAGAGGTCCACATCCCCTCACAACAATGGTGGGAAGCCAATCTTTAATGCACGGGCCTCAGGGTCATTCCAGAGCCAGACTCTACCACCAGGTGCCCACAAACCATCGGTGACACCAGCCCACCTGTGCAGTCTCCCGTCACCTGCCACTGTCCATGTCCCCTTCTGACACCCTCTTTGTACTCCTCTTCACCACTCATGCTGTCCTGATAAAGTGGTTCTCAAAGAACAAAAGCATTTGCTGATTTCTGTATATAAATATTGCCACTATGGTTATTACCATTTTAACAACCCTCTCCTGGGATTCCTCAAAACTTAGCGACAGTCTCCCCTCCCTCCAGGAATTTCCAGCAGAAGATCCCCTCTGAGAGAGGCCCTGGGGCGGGAGCTCACTTGCATGTGGGACCCTCTAGGAAGCTTCCCTTTCCCTATTTTCACCGCATCCCCTCTATCCTCCCTCTGTGGATCACCCCTAGATTCCTTGGACTCCGTCTCCTCAGGAAACACATTCCTGAGTCTCCTGCCGGTCCCTCAGGCTACAAGCGTGGCTGTGTTTCTCCAATGCTTAAGAAAACAGAGCTGACAAAGTAAGGCTTCTCTAGGCCTGGTGATCTGAGCTCCCTGCCGTCCTTGCCAAGCTTCAGGAGCAAGTCTTCCCGGATCCAAGTTTCCACCCACTGGCCTTGCACTGGCTAATAGAATGTTGGCTAGCTGGGAATTTGGGGTGTTTGTTCCCAGAGGACATCGATCATCCCAGAGTCCTATCTTTTGCAATTCTTTTTTCTTGCTCTTTTCTTTCTTTCCACCCGAATACCATAACTGGGTAGATTAGCAACCCACTGCAGGGGTCTGTAATAGCAGATGACATGTATCCTACATAAAAGACCCCCAAAATCCACCAAAAGACTTCTAGATATAATAACCAAACTCAGTCACATAGTTGGATACGAAGTCAGCACTCAAAAATCAAGAGACTTCCTGTACAAACACAACAAGCTCACTGAGAGAGAAATTAGGGAACCAATACCTTTTACAATAGCATCTTTTAAAAAATGAAATATGTAGGACTCAATCTAATAAAGGAAGTAAAAGGTCTCTACATTGAAAACTACAGTGCTATGAAAAAGGAAATGGAAGAGGATATCAGAAAATGGAAGCTGGGCATGGTGGCGCACACCTGTAATCCCAGCACTCGGGAGGCTGAGGCAGGAGGATCGTTGGGAGTTCGAGACCAGCCTGGGCTACAAAGTGAGCTCAAGGCAAGCCTGAACTGCATAGCGAGACCCTGTCTCGAAAAAGAATGCCCCCAAAAAAAAGCAAAGAAAGAAAATGGAAAGATACACCCTTCGCTCTTGGGTAGGAAGAACCATATAGTGAAAATGGCCATACTACTTGGCCAATCACCCTCTCCTGGGAGACATCTGAATATGAATATCTCACCAGCTACTGTAGTCTGCTATGTCCACCGCCCCCATCTACTGGTGTGTTTCTCTGTGGAGGTCTCTGGGGTGGCCAGCAGTCACCAGGCATCTGCAGGATCAAGCCACCCGCACCCGCCCCCCGACGAAGTGAGTCAGTGCTCGGAGAAAGCGCAACTTGCCACTCCTTCTTCTGCACTGAGGTCTCGCTCTTCACCCTCCCCGTGGGTTCCAGTTCTCACTTCAGATCCTTGATGGGATGCTGGGATCCACCTCCCTCCTCCTTCCTCTGTCCTGCACACTGCTATACTCCAACATCTGGACAGCAAAGCTCAGAGAGGCTCTTTCTCTGCTGCTCACCATCTTCCCGTAAGTAGTGTCCACCCACAGTGGTACTGGCAAGGTCACATACTTATTGCTATTTCTTTTTTTTTGTTTGTTTGTTTTCCGGTACCAGGAATCGAACTCACTACCTTGCACTTGCCAGGCAGGCGCTGTGCCACTGAGCTCAATCCTCAGCCCCGTTATTGCTATTTCTCTATAAACCAACACTCAGGTTGCCTTTATGACATTAACAATACTAGAGGACATTGCCAGAGAACTTGGCTGTGAGGCTAAACTACACTGCCAGCCAGGGATGTTTCTATGGCTGTCTTCTCTGGCCCTCTTCATGCTACCCACCCTCCTGCCTTAGGCCATGCCAACCTCATCACCCTCTGCAAAATCTGTAAAGCTCTTTGCTTCTGCAGACCCCTGGGACAGCACCCTGCTTCCTGAGGGTCAGCACTGCCCAAAGGTCCAGCTGACTCTGATGCCCCAAGCAGCTCAAAGCCGTGAACCCTGCAAAGTGAACTCAGAACAAGGCTCTAAGGTTCCCACTGTGAAGGCTGTGGTGCCAGGAGGAATCAAGGTGGGATCCAGAAAGGACAGACTAAGAGTTTTGCTGGGTGTGACGGTTCACGCCTATAATCCCAGCAGCCTGGGAGACTGAGGCGGGAGAATCAAAAGTTCCCAGCATGGGCAATTCGGTGAATAATTTTAAAAGGGCTGGGGATGTAGCTCAGTGCCATGGCTCTGGGTTCAATCTCTAGTACCACAATCTCAGCTCTTCTGTCTCTTGGCGGTGTGATGTTGAACATGGCATTTCATCCTTCTGTGTATCAGTTTCCCTGTGTGTGAAGAGGTGATAAAGACAGGCTCTCGGGGAGGTAATTGAATTAGCACACCTGCCTAGTGTTCACATTACATGGCCATGCCAACCCACATCAAATGCCAGTGGGACCAGTGTTAACACTCGGCCGACACGTGCCCCCGCATTCTCTTCCCTCTGCCTCTCTTGGTGCTATCTGTGATCATCACTTCTTTCCCTGATTACTGCCGCAACCTTCTGCCTCCAAAGACAGATGCCTCCAATCCAGTCTCTGTATTTAAAAATGCGGAATATTCATCCACTGAAATAAAACCTCCAAGCACTACAATTGGCTGATTAAGGCCTTGGGAAACGGTTATACCCTATGGCGAGGTTCCAGGATCCTTGATCCCCATCCCATCTGCTACGACCCGAAACTTGCACAGCCCCTTCACACTTCCGGAAACATTAGCCCAAGGAGCCTGGGATGTCCTTCCTCTCCATCTCTCCTGGGCTGAAACCTCTCCTTTCCTGACCTCACCTGGCCTAGGAAGTGCCTCAGGGGTGAAGCCCCCAGCTAGGCTGCACCCACACACCGGCTCGCTGCTGGCCTTGTGGCCGTATCAGGACCCACCTCACTAACACCCAGGATTCTGAGGGAGTCTTTGGGCTAAAGAGAAACTGAGGGCCCCACACTGACAAGACTTGTTTCTCCACAGCTGCGGAGCCCCTCAGCGCCTCCCAAGGAGACCCTGCTTGGAGCGCAGGCTGTGACAGACTTGTGGCTGTCCAAAGCCGTTTAGAGGTCATGGAGGAGGTAATAACTTGAAATGGGGCTGAGACGGGGGGCAGGAATCGTTAGGACCAGCTGCCAAGCTTCTGTTAGATGGATGCCACCCTGCTCTGGAATGTCAGGAGGTCCAGGCTGATTCTGCTCCCTGTGCGAAACGCCCCTTTGCCCTAACTGGGCTGTTAGATGACCGGCTCCCTTTACACTCTGCCTTCCTTGCATTGGCCTTTCTTATACCAAGTCTTCGATCTCTCCAAAATAAGAGGAGGTGGAAATTTTTGTCTTACAGCCATAACTCAAAAACTGGGGTTTATAAACTTGTGGAGGTTTATTTCTTTATGTCATAAACCTTTCATTGAAAAGTACCTTTCTAATCCATAGTAGTAGTACTGGTACCATGACAAAAATTACAGATTTCAGGCTGGGCGTGGTTATGGCACACGCCATAATCCCAGCACTAGGGAGGCTGAGGCAGGAGGATCGTTGTGAGTTCGAGGCCAGCCTGGGCTACAAAGTGAGCTAAGGCCAGCCAGAACTGCACAGCAAGATCCTGTCTCAAAAAGACACACAAAAAAAAAAAAAAAAAAAAAAAAATCACAGGTTTCATCTCATTACTGTTTTTATGAATAGCTCATAATGTCATTTACAATTGGGTCACAACGATGGCAATTTTAGGCCTGATGTTAGAGCATGTTATTTAATGAATTAATAAATAAGATCAAAATTTTAATTAACACTTGAATAATGCTATAATATATTTGATGTCTTTATTAGTACCGCAGGTTTTATTTTTGGCATTTAAAGAGTTATTCTGAGAAGAATCTGTAGGTTGCATCAGATGCTAACAGGGTCGATGGCGCAAAAAATTCATCAGAAACTGAATCAACGGGGCGCGGGTGAGAGGGGAGTCAAAATCCCAGAACTGCTATTTGGCAAAAGTGCCACCAGGGGGCAGAGCAATAAAAGGAATGTGAGCTCAGCCTGCGCGGTCCCAAAGGAAAACCGGTATTCTGAGATCCACTGGTGTGAGCCTGGGAGTAAGATCGCTGAGTGCCAGACACAGAGCGGCGTGGAGGGCGAGCCCGCAGGATGTCGTCCTTAGGGGAGACCGAGGCGGGGAGGGGCGGAGCTGGACGGGGAGGACCCAGACCCTGAGCACGCTCCCCTCCCCGTGCACACGGTGGTCCTTAGGATGCTGCCACCTGGGCAGATTGTCCCACTCTGGTCCTCGACTCTGCCCTGCCTCCCGCTGCAGACGGTGGAGAAGACCGCAGAGCACCTGGAGGCCCAGGTGAAAAGCCTGCTGGAGCTGCTGGAGGAGCTGTCCTGGAACCTGCCGGCGGTGCCCTTCAGCCCGGCCCCTGACCTCCTCGCGGACGGTGAGTGGCTGAGCACAGAGCACAGCCCCTGCGCCTGTCACCCGGAAGGCCTCGCCCAGCCCTTCCTTTGCTGGAGAAGCCCTCTCCGCTCCGTCTCCTTCCACCTCCCTTCCCTGGACGCCCCTCCTGCTGCACCCGAAACTCCCTCGGGGACGATGGCGCCCCCTGGTGGGCACCGGTGAGGTTGTCCCCTGCTCCCTCCCTGTGCCTCTTTTCCCTACATGGCACCTCCCAAGGGGGGTGGGGAGGAGCCAGGAGGGAGCTTCCGTGCCCCCGGGGGTGAGGAGGCTTCGCTACCCCCAGATGCCCGCGCGGGGTCACCCCTTCCAGACCACTTCTGAGCACCGAGGTGGGCGAGCCCAGCTGCTGGAGGTGATGCCCGCTGCACAGCACCCCTCTGAGGACAGAGTCGCACCTTCCTTCCCCTCCTTTGCCTGAAATAAAAGTTACTCCTCCAGCCCCCTGTCTGCTGACAGAATCACCCCGTAACCGCAGCCCTCCTCCCTCCGCTCCCCGCCCTGAGGCCCCATCCCCCTCTGCACTGAGATCCACGCCCCTGGCCATCGGGGCTTCAGCCTTCTTTTTATAGAGGCAGGCTGGGCAGGGGTCATCCAGAGGCCGGGCACTGTGGGCAGAATCTTAAGGGGACACGGCCTTGCTACTTACTGAGGCCGGGGCCGCAGAGGAGCAACAGCCCCACCTGGACGCTTGTCGCAAACGCAGGCTCTTGGGACCCTCCCCGGCCTCCTGAATCCCAATCTGCACTTTGATGTGGTCTCCAGCGGTCCGCGTGCCCATTCACCGTCCTCCCCACCCACCTCTCACCCCCGGTGCTGGGGACCGAGTTCCCCTCTCTCCTGAGCTATATCCCCAGCCCCCTTTTAAAAATTCCTATTGCAATAACGTTCCCATAACAAATTCCCCAATTTTAGCCATTTAAAACTACAAATTCAGTGGCTCCCAGTGCTTTCATAATATTGAATTCCAAAACATTTTTATCAACCGAAAAAGAAACCATGGGCCAGTTAAGCGGTCACTTCCTGTATCACATGCCACCACCTCTGGAATCCACAAGCCTTTCTGTTTGGATGGACTTGCCTATCCAGGACACTTTATATAAATGAAACCATACAAAACATGGTCTTTTGTATCTGGCTTCTTTTTTTTACATTTGATTTTATTGGTACACTTTAGATATACATAACGATCACATTCATCATAGAGAATTTGTACCTGCACATGATATAACTTGGGTTTTCTCCTCATTCCCCTACCCCCCTTCAACCCTTCCTCCTTTTTCTATTTACAAAGCTTTGTTTCCATGTTTTCCTTCTTCTCTCTCTTTTTTTTTCATTTTTCCCTTCTTTTCTTTCCCTGTCTCCTCCGTGTGTCTGGCTTCTTACACTGCATGTGTTCTCCAGGTTCATTCGAGTTCTACCCTATGTCATTTCCTCTTTCTTGTTCATGGCTGAGTTATGTTCCATTGTGTGTATAGAACAATTTTATTCATCCATCCCTCAGAGAATGGCAGGCTGTTGGCACTTTTTGGCTATTATGCGTAATGCTGTTATGAACCAGTCACATACAAGTTCTTGGGTGGACACATGATTTTTATTTCTCCCGAGTATATGCCTAGGAATGAAGTTGCTGAACGTGTGGTGAGACTACTTTTAACTTTTGGAAGAGCCACTGAACTGTTTTTTGCAATAACTGTGCCATATAGCCCCCCGCTTCCAGCAATGCCAGCCTTGGGGGTTTTCATAGATGCTCTCTATCTGATTGAGAAATTTCTCTTTTATTCTTAGGTCCTTGAGTGTTTTAAAAAATTTTACGTTTTTCTTTT